ATGGTGGGATTCCTAAGTCATCAGATGGAAATGCTGGATTTTAGCAGACACAGTGCAACGCATCTTAAATTAATTTGGTAGCAATTTTTATTTCAACCAAGAATCTGAGAATTCCAGTTGCTCCACATGCTTCTCCAATCTGAAATGCCTTGGTCGTTTAATTAAAAATTTTATTTTTTAATAATGATTACATGGTTGATCAGGGTGGGAAGGATCCGAGGTTTAGGGAAAATTGGAAGAAGCAGCTTCCAAACTAATTTTCCCAGCACCCAGGGATGAGGAACCACTGCCTCATATCAACCCAGAGTCTCAACGTGTACGTAATCTGAGAGTTCTGTCCAAGTGGTTTGGATAGTTCTGAAATGCTGCCAATTTCACCGATCCAAGGATGATGTCACCTTCCCAATGTCCATTGCTGTCATCGTTTGTTGGGGGTAGTTGTCCAGTTAGTCCTGTTCTCCTTCTGCCATATTCTCCTTTTATAACAGGGCCTGTGACCACTGCTCCACCTTTTTCACTAAATAGGGCATGTTTTTGCAGGCGAGTCCAACTACCCAGGCCAGGCGTCCCAAGCATCACCAGATCCCCGACCCCTGGGGCTACAAATTTAGTACCCACCTAGTAGGTGGGCCCCAGGACCTGGGCCAGGAGACCCAAGCCCCACTGGAGCCCCCACTCCTGGGCCTCATAAACCCAGCACACACCTCACAGGTAGGCCCCAGACCCCACGCCAAGAGATCCAAGCCCTGCCATATCTCCTTCCTCTGGGGTTCACGAAATCAACACCCATCTACAAGGCAGGCCCCAGGATCTGGGCCAAGTGACCCAAACCCCACCAGTTTCCCTGTCTCCAGGGCTCAGGAACCCAGCCCCACCACAAAGGTGGGCCCCATGACCTGAGCCAAACTATCTGATCCCTGTCCCTGGGACTCATGTACCCGACCCCCACTGGCACGACTCACCTCAACTCAGTGTCCGCAGTATTACCTCATAGCATGGCCTGGTCCAGCCTGCCCCCCATTCCAGCTCCTGCTGGTGGGTGCTGCAACCTATCCCAGCCCAGCCTGAGCGCTGTCCTGGTCCTAATGTGAACTGCCTGGTGTTGCAGCCTGATCTGGCTCCTCCTGCCCCCTGCCCTAGTTCTCAGATTCACCAGTGGGTGTTACTTGTTGGTCCAGACTAGTCTGTCCCCAGATCTCACCCACATGTATGCCGGTGGGTACTGTAACCTGGCATGGTCTGGGCTGCTCCTTGCCTTGCTTCTTATGCTCACCTGTAGGAGATGCACTCCAATGAGTTTCCAAAGCTCCTCCATGGAGTATCCTCCCAGTGGCAGTTCTTGTGCACACCAGTGGGTTGTTGGCCCAGGCTGACTGTCCGCCTCCTGTTCTGACAAGAACAGTGGCCTTGCTCAGCCAGCCACACCCATTCTGGTTCTTGTTGGGTGCTGCAGCCCAGTGGTGCCTGGTCCGTGCCCAGACACAGCTTTCACCTAGTTCAGCAGGAGTCAAGACCTAGCCTGGCCTGTTCTGCACCCAACCTGGCTCTCACAAGTACCAGTGGGGCTGGAGTCAAGCCCCATCCGTCACTCCACAGTGCACACCCGCGCCAGCGCGGTCTGGAGCCATGGACAGCCATGCCTGCTGCCCTCAATCCTACTCTCATTCTCACCACTGGGTACCCCAACCCAGCAGAGCTGGGTACCCCTCAGCTACCCAGCAGAGTCTGCTGGTCTCCCTTTGGGTCTCCCACACCGGTGCAGGAACCCAAGGACTTGAGCCATGCTCTGCTGCTTTTCGTGGATACAAGCAGGGAACAGGATGGGAAGCAGAGCAACTAAGACATGAACTGGTGCCAATCCAGGTACCAAGCAGGCCCATTCTTTGTGAAGTTTTATTGTCTTTTAGATACAAGCACAAACCTCTGTACATGCATACCAAGCAATCCAGGTCTCTCCCATGGGTACCGCTCCTTGACAGGAGCCCTCACAGCTACCTCCGAGCCTATGTTAGCATGGAGCTGGAGTTAGAACTGGAAAGAAACGCCCATACTCCAGCATGGGGGGTGCTAGGCTAACCACCTGCTCCCTTTCCTGCGGCCTCTGCAGTTACCACAAACATCAGTGAGCCCAGCTATGCTCCTGCACTATGGCAGGAGTTCCCTTCCGGTCTAAAATGAACATCCCCTTTGACCAGTTCTGCATTTCGGCCCCAAAGATCCCTGTTTCACTAAGGACAGTCTTCCCACATTCTAGGGCTTGGTAGGTGTGGCAGATGCTATCCGCATAGAACCTTAGAATTCTTGTCACTCTTTCGGTTACTTAGTAACAATATCTAGTAACATTGTGTATGACTTGTGCTGGATAACAAACGATTCTTGCCTCTACTCTACGATTCTTGCCTCTACTCTACGATGCCTTGAGGAAAAGCTAGTATCCAGAATGCACATATATATATAAAGAACGCCTACAAATCTTTACGAAACAGAACACCAGCACATAAACTAAGTTTACAACTAAACAGAAAGAAATGTATCCAAGGGGCTGGCATTGTGGGGCAAAAAGTCACGTTACCAACGCAATACTGGCATCTCTAAGGGGCAAGGGTTCAAGTCGAGCTTCTCCACTTCTGATTCAGCTTCCTACCGACGGGCTGGGAAAAGCAGAAGAGGACCCACATTTTTATGCCCCTAGCAATCATATGGGCGATCCAGAAGTTTCTGGCTCCAGGCTTTTGCCTGGCCAGGCTCTGCTGTTGCAGCCATCTGTGGAAGGAAAATCTCTTACTCCCTTTCTGTGAAGCTGCCTTTAAGTAAACAATCTTAAAAACAACAAAAATCTTAAACAATCTTAAAAATAACAAAAATGCAGGACCCAGTGGCATGGCCTAGTGGTTATAGTCCTCACCTTAAATGGGCCAGGATCCCATATGGGTGCAGGTTCTAATCCCAGCAGCCCCGTTTCCCATCCAACTCCCTGCCTGTAGCCTGGGAAAAGTAGTCGAGGACGGCCCAAAGCCTTCAGACCCTGCACCCGTGTGGGAGACCTGGAAGAAGCTCCTGCCTCCAAATTGGCTCAGTACCTGCCGTGCGGCCGCTTGGGGAGTGTATATCTGCCTTTAAAAATAATAATAATAATAAATCTTAAAGAAAAACACACAAAAACACACCAACCAAAGACCAAATGGGAAAGGTTTTTTCACACTTCAAAAGTGCAAAACTGGGCCCGGCGCGGTGACGCAAGTGGTTAAGGTCCTCTCGCCTTGCATGCCCGGGATCCCATATGGGCGCCGGTTCTATCCCGGCAGCCCCGCTTCCCTTCCAGCTCCCTGCTTGTGCCCGGCGAAAGCAGTTGAGGACGGCCCAAAGCTTTGGGTCCCTGCACCCGTGTGGGAGACCCGGAAGAGGCTCCTGGCTTCGGATCAGCATAGCATCGGCCGTTGCTCTCACTGGGGGAGTGAATCATTGGACGGAAGATCTTCCTCTCTGTCTCTCCTCTCTGTATATCCGCCTTTCCAATAAAAAAAAAAATAATAATAATAATAAATCTTTAAAAAAAGTGCAAAACGATCCCAATCCCCCTTAAATGTCCATTGAATAATTTTTACATTTAGGCAATAAAGACAACAACGAACAAATCTACTACTATACACAACAATGTGGATTTTCACAATGGTAAACGCTGCATGGGAGGCAGTGTGTGATTTAAGCTGTAGAGGAGCGGTTACTCTAGGACAGCCGGAGGTTCCCTTGCAGGACTGGCAAGGTCAGTTCTGTGCGCTGCATGGTTTCTCGTCCCAGAAACAAAAACCCTCCCTAGACACGGTGTTTCATCTCACGCTCTTCTCTTACAGCCAGCTGTTTATGGTCACATACCCTGTCACAGCACGCAGCACTGCCCTCAGCAAGGTCACCTCGCTCTAATTAGGCTTACAGAGACCTGGGACTCCAGTGAACACGGCAGCCAGAGCAGGTTGTAAAGCAGTCACAGGGAGAGCTGCTTGTTTTGGTCCCTTGTGCCACAGTACACGCAACCACATACACCGTTTTAACTGTGTACACTTAAACGTTAGTGCGATATTTAAACTGCTGATAGGGCCAATATGGCTTAGGTAATACAACACATACTTGTCTCAATTTCTCCTAAGCATCAATTTGCTCAATTGTAATAAAAATAAGAAATACCTGTTGCTACCTGCAATGCTCGCATTTCACATGGCTTGCTGAATCAAGTCCTGCCTGCTCCACTTTGCATCCAATGACCTAGGAAAAGCAGCCGAGAACAGCCCATGCTAGAACCCCGCTACCCGCCACCCACGTGGGAGACCTAGATGAAGGTGCTGGCTTCGATCGGGCCATCTGGGGAGTGGACCAACACGTGGACAACTGTGGTCTCTCCCTCTCTTTCAAACTAAGCAAATATTAAAGAAAATTTCCACATCACTGGGTTATCATGAGGATTGAGGAGATAAATATCAAGCGCTTAGACAAGACTCTGTAATATGGTAAACAGACAATCAACTGCCAAACTTCAAGTCTGATGTTATTTGCTTTCTGATTTATGGTGTATGCATTACGTGGAAATCATGAATTTATATACATCACCTTTGGAGGACACACAAAGGAGCAGACACAAAAGCGGCTTCGCCACACAGCTCCAGGGTCACTACCAAAGCACTTGGGTTAGTCTCTAAACAAAATGGACAACCGCAAGTTGTTAGATAAACTGCAGTTAACTAGCAAAAACATTGACACGGGGGTAGGGGAGATGGAGACTGGAAGAAAGGCGTCAGCCTACTGTGGTGAGTGGTGCAAGTGCTTCTGAGAGCTTTGCAGTGTCCCCGTGCGTGGAGCACGGACACGCGCTGCTTACCCCGGAATGTCACAACACACAGGAGCAGACTGAAAGGAGAAGCAAAACTCAGTGATTCTGACGTGTCCCAGGAGAGATGTTACCTGGAAAGCTTCCTTTGTTATCCAAAACTCATTTATTGCAACAAAACTGGAGGTTAATCACTCTTTTATTATTTAATTATATGGTAAAATCTACATCTACAATTTGATAGGGAGGAATTGCTTTGCATTTACATCAAGGACACAGTTACTCTAGTGGAATCAGACAGACACACACAGAAGACCAAGTACATGTTGAAAACAAAACGTCTCCATGTTTCAGCTGGCCCTACACTTGCTATTCCGGACCACAGTTTCCTATTAGCGTTGACTCTTACATACATACACGTTAGGTCTTGATCTTACATACATGTTAAGTCTGACGTATCTCCCCAAATTTTTAAGCATTGAAAGGAGCTTCTCACAATTTCTGTTCATAAACAAAATGTTGAAAACAATATGGAAGGAAAGTTTAAAAACAAAGAACAGACGGCTTTTACCTAGGGCGGAGAACACGCGGCTCATCTCGGAACACTTTCACTAGGAGGCCAGCGTTTCTCGCGCAGGAGGAGCACATTTCCCACGCGCCCTGCGGGACCACACCTGCAAGTGCTTCTGTTCTCAATTCCAAAGTGTTAGTGAAAATGCATACAAAATATCTAAAAACTAAATATCAGAATGGGACTCAGACAAATAAAAATTGTGAATTGGTTCAAATAGATGTTTTCAGTTTCTTAAATTCAGATATTTTAAAATAACTCACATTTTAGTGTGCTTCATGGTTTCACATAAAGTTGAAACTCAAATGAAGTTTTTTTCATGTTTTACTTGATTCTACAAAAATATCAATTAACTACTGCTTTACTTAATCAAGTTATACATGAGGTAAGTTTCAGCTAAAAAAGGCAAACCAAAAGAGCAACAAAAAAAGCCAACCAAAGTTAAAAGTCAACCACTTAAAAAGCACACAAAATCTTTATGCCCACTTCATGTTTAGAATTTACAACCTTAGGTACTGATATTTTTTTGTAATTTAAAAACTAACTACCTTTTGCATTCCTAAGTCTGATTACATTGGTAAATACAGGGGGTAAAGTCTGACAAAATTTATTTTTGGTAAAATAACGCAATAACGAATCCAAATGGAACAGAAGACTGCTGTTGAACACTTCACTTCTAAACAGACACACACGCACACACGCAGTTATCTAAAAAAATATTTTGGTAGTAAATTGGATTAACAGAGTACATGTTTTCTCGTAAATAAAAAGTAAAAATTTCCAATTACAGTCTTATAGCCAGCGATCAGGTTTTCAAAATAGGTAATAGCCAGCTAACAGTTCTTTAAAATATGTAAAGGTTGCACTAACAGATCTCTGCTCACCGTCCCCAGTATTTAAGCAGGTCTTACTGAGTTAGCACTTTCATGATACTAAATAGCTTTTACAGAGCCAGTACAAAAGGGCGAAAGCAGTAACATTTAGCTGGCAGTAAAAGTTACAGATTATTGCTGCACTTTTCCCTCATAACACCACCAAACTTTGTAGCAATTCTAGAAAGTACTGTTCCTCTCATCAAATTTCATTATGCTTATGTATGTAAATTTTTACTCAGCAGAGAATTCTTAAAATTGAAAGCATTTAAATGTGTAACTTCACATTATACTGCCACATTTTTATGCCCTTTCTGTTTCCCAAATACATAAAAACAATATACATTTTCCCCCAAAAAATGAAATAAGATGTCCACATTAAAAAAATAAAGCCTACAAAAAGTTCCAGAGCTAAAAAAAAGAGTATCTGTATGGCACAGAGTGATCTACAGCGCGAGGTCCAAGACGACCACACGAAATCCATTAGCGCAGCCTGCTTGTTTTCAGAGGAATACTATGTTGACGTGAAATCACATTACTTTTAGTTCTTGAGTCAACAAGAATTGTACACATTTTTTGTTTTACAGTTATTAAAAACAGGAGACCAAGCTGAATGTGCCAGAGATTTCACTTGAGCTTTTTAGACTCATCTTGAAGAAAACCGGAGAAGGGATTTACTTGGTTGGTTTCCATAGCTTGATAGACCAGAAACAGGAAAACTGCCACAATCACCACCAGCACGATTTTTATCCACATAGGAATGGAGCGTCCCTTCTTCTTAGTCTTTTCTGACTTGACATCTGCCAAGGGGACATACTTGGGAACATACTTTGATGAGAAAGATTCCTCCATTCTGAAATCGCTGAGTTCTAACGGCCGGCCTGCAGCCCCTTTGATTGGTCTGCGGCAACTGGCACTGTTAGGGAGTGAAAGAAGGCAAACATTTTACAGTCAGGATTTAGATAAATGACATAAAATGTCACTGTTCCTAATTCCAAGCATATTCCATAAGATAGCATAAAGCAGCAAGTGCAACATATGAAAAACTCTGCAACTTCTTCATTGAAAAATTTTTCCCATATTTTATTAAAAATTAATATTCAGGGGCCTGGCATGGTAGCCTAGACTGGTAGCTCATATGGGATGCCACCACCACAGGAGGAAGCTTAATGTGCAACACCATGGTGCCAGTTCCATGGCTAAAGTCTACAAGAAAGAAAAACACCAAGTGGCTATGGTTGTTACTCCTGCCGCCAGGAAACAGTTGAAAGATACCTACAGCCGTTTGAGGGTCAGTGTTTGGCCTAGCAGTGAAGATGCTGCTTGAGAAGCCCACATCTTAGCTCACAGGTCCTAGAGTTGATCCCGGCTCTGCAACAGCCTCTGGCTGACGCGCGGCATGGCAGGAAGGAGGTGACAGCCAGATGAGCCTCATCTCCGCGCCTCAGTGGGAGATGTGGAGTTAGGCAGCTGGACAGTGAATCGGCAGATGGGACCAGAAAAGTTTAGGGGGAAGACTACTTCTTTCCTAATGTACTTTCATTTGGAGTTAAAAGTATGAATTAAATAGGTAAATAAAATGCTTTTTTAAAGAAAAAACAATTATTTGAAAGGTAGAATGTCAGAGAAGCAAAGATATCTTCTATCCTCAGGTTTACCACCCAGAATGGTTGCATGACTGGGGCAAAGCCAAGAGCCCAGCGCTCCAGCCAGCATCCTTCATGTGGGCGGCGGGGAACCTTGTGGGAAGGCACAGCACCCGGCATGCTTTAATCTAGCCCCGGTACATTTTGTAATTTTTTAGCTTAATGAAGTCAATTTTGAATTTGATTTAATTTTCAAGAATATGAAAAACTGGTGATTTAAGGAAATGACCCCTGAAATAACAGTTTAATTCTGAGAAAACAGGCGTAACAACTTTGCCAAAAATAAATAAATAAATAAATAAATAAAAATTCCCTATTGAAACCCAATATACTTGTCTCAATGCAGCCAAGTACCTAATTCCTGTGGGTGTAGCTGCTTCAAACGGGAACATTTCCTTAAGAATATCTCTTTCCACTCTTCTGTCCTCTGTTTTTTCTCCCACCTAATAAGAAACAAAGAAACACAAAATAAATTTAGTGTACATGTACAAATAAAACCATTTAAAGTTGCAGAGAAAAGCCTCTTGAATCTATCCCAAGTTTAACCAACACTATTTCTGAATTCATTATCTCTAGGTATCTACACGATCCCAAGGCTCTGCAGACTTTCCCAAGGTGAAGAAACCTGCATGTGTTATTAGAGGGAAAACTGCCACACGTTCAAAGCACTGCGTGTGTCGGGAATCCAGTAAGTTAACATGGCAGTGTAAAGTCCCTCAATTTTTCCCTTGTTTTTAATTAATAAAACATTGAGTCTACTAGTTCTTTCTGTTACACATTTCACAGAAAAGTGATCAAATATAAAGTTAGCCAACTAACATGGACATTTAACAAATTTCAGTCTATTTTAATTAGTACAATCTCCCCAACTCAGCAAACAGAATTAACTTCGTACTTTAACTTTTGGCTGTGTTTACCTTTGTGTGCAGTTCAGAATAAATAAACTATGTGATTTGGTAAATTCATTAAACTTATAAGACACCATGCAGTTAGTATTTTAGAGATCAACTATACGGAGTTTAACCAACTCAAGCACCAAAGTTAAAGTTTCATTATTAGACCTTTTAATGAAAGAAAGTGTAACCTCCCTCAGAGCCCAGCAGCACTTTCCAAATTCTAGCCACGACCAACAATGCGTAAGCAGCACACAAGTGATCAATTGCTTGAACAAAAAAAAAAAACTGGAACTTAAAGTCAGAGAAGCAAGAGGAGAGTATTAGCAAGCCATACCACATTAGCTGTAGGTACCATTCTCAGGCATGACCGTGTGTCAATCACTTATGCATACGTAGACACACCACCCAATAAGAAAACGGTTCCCCTCACTTCAAAAAAACAAAAAAAAACAAAGATAGGAAATATTTCCTCTCGGAGAGATCAGGAGAGATCAATGATAGCACGGATCTAAACTGTATTCATTTACTTCAGCTCTTGTCAATGGTCTCTTTGGTGTTCTTCTGGGTGTGTCTGAGAATTCAGTGATTGGCAGAAGGGGAGTTGCATGCTTGAAATTTCCAGTCACCCTATTGACAACCTGCCAAGATTCAAATTATTCAGACTCAGAATTATCCAAACATAATAAAGACACTTAAAAAGGTAATTCTTACAACAGAACCTAGCATCTCGACCCAAGAAGCTTGATCATTCTTCAATTATTTTAGTAAAAGCATCCTTATAATATTTAAGATTCTTATACAATAAATTAAATTTATATAAATTGGCTAGTGAAAAATTCTAAAATTCAAACTATATGGAATAAAACCAGTATAAAATCTGTTCAAAAAACAGAGAAATTTAAAATGTGCCAGAATTTACCACCTCCCAATTTCCAATTATAGGGCAATTTATGAAGAATACCACTTTGTACAGTTTATGAAATATATTTACTAAGGTGTTGTTGCTTGAAGCCATAATAGTTTCAGTTATGGGAGTATTCTGTGAAATTACTGCACCATCTACATGAAAATGTTCTGAAGTTTCCACCTGTTAGTTTGAAAACAAAACAAAAACAATAAATATAAAAGAAACACTAAAACCCTGCCAATCTGAAAACCCAATTCTAAGCAATAAGCCTTGCATCACCCTTTTCCTTGGAGTTCTTCTTGACCCTCTTGTAGATTCCCTAGTTAATGCCTGCAGAGGTCCGCCTTTTGAAGATCCACTTGTCCATTCAGTCTCTGTTACTCCAGCTTGAGAATAGCTCTATTTAAGCACCGACACATGAAAAAGACATAGTCTAACATCAAACACCTTTATGATGGCCGTATCAGCACAAAAAGCCATTCAGTGTCCAAATTCCGTCATTTACAAACAACATTATGCCTCAAAATATTTCTCCATGTACAGTAAGCATTTAACAGATGGTAGAAGTCCTTACAAATTATAATAAAATCTAGGGGGAAAATTCTTGCACAACAATTATCACAGTTCCGTTTTGTGTCTTCCTGAATATAGTTATGGTAGCTGAATCCACTTTGTCTACACAAAAGGCAGAATGATTCCAATTTTTAATAAAATCATTTACTGCAACATGTGTTTACTGCTTTAAAACAAAAGCACAAACTTTACAGTTATTAAGGTAAATATTTCTTTTCACATGGTTAGGATCATTTTAGTAAAAGCAGTTTAAACTATAATCCACACACAGCTAACATGAAGCTCAGAACTTCCCAGGTATCAAAGTCCTTCTGAAAACAGACCAAATCAAACCTAGCCAGCCAGAGCCTGCACGGCCACCGGCCCGTGAACGCAGGAGCCCGCTGCTCAGCGCCCACGCTCCCAGCTGCTCACACCTGCCCAACGCCCACTACAGAAAACAGCTGCTCACACCTGCCCAACGCCCACTACAGAAAACAGCTGCTCACACCTGCCCAACGCACACTACAGAAAACAGCTGCTCACACCTGCCCAACGCACACTACAGAAAACAAGGGAGCAGCGACAGACACCTGTACCAATCAGTCTTAGACTCGTTTTTTTCCTGACAAACTGACATTTTTCTGTGCCTTTAAGAATATAAGCGTTCATCCATTCTAATTTGAAATCCATCAGACCGTCACTTCTCCAACTATAATGTGCTTGTACATTAAATACCTGGGGAGAGGGGAATGCATGCAGATTCTGCATTCTAAATACCAAGATTTTAAATGTTGAAGCCAATATTACAATCACTGTGTTGCAGCAGCGTGCTTATGTTGTCATTTTTGCTTTTAAACAAATATTTTTATCTAGCAAAAGATAGTTAATCTAGCAAAGTGTCTATTAAATTTAAAGGTGACTGCATTGTGGAGTAGCACGCTATGCTGCCACCTTCTAAGTGTCAGTTTGAGGGATGGTTGGTTCACTTCCGATCTAGCTTCCTATTGAGCAGTGGAAGATGGCCCCAGGCACTTGGGGCCCCTGTCACAATCATTTGGGGAGCAAATCAATAAATGGAAGCTCTCAAATTCTGCTTTTCAAATAAGTCTCTTAAAAAAAAGTGAAGCTCAATCGATTTACTCTTCCCCTGTGACCACAGCAGCAACCTAGCAGTGTGGCTTGAAGCATTGCTATTACAGTCCATACAGTCAGAGTCTCCCGCATCTGATGTCTTACATCTAACCACACTGGAAATCGACATTCAGAAAATCTCTACTTTGACTCACAATTGGAATCTCAGTTTCTCAGTCTGCTATAAATTAGGATTGAATGTAAAAACCATTTTGGTCAAAAGACCAATATGTAGGGCCCGGCGCGATAGCGTAAGTGGTTAAAGTCCTCTCCTTGAACGCACCGGGATCCCATATGGGCGCCGGTTCTAATCCCAGCAGCTCCACTTCCCATCCAGCTCCCTGCTTGTGGCCTGGAAAAGCAGTCGAGGACGGCCCAAAGTCTTGGGACCCTGCACCCGTGAGGGAGACCCGGGAGAGGTTCCTGGTTCCTGGCTTCGGATTGGCGCAGCTCCAGCAGTTGTGGCTGCTTGGGGAGTGAATCAATGGAGGGAAGATCTTCCTCTCTGCATATCCACCTTTCCAATAAAAAATAAATAGATCTTAAAACATACTAATCCTTTGCCTGCAACACCAGCAGCCCACGTGGGCATCAATTTGGGTCCTCACTAGTTCCCTGCTGGTGACCTGGGAAGGCAACAGAAGACGGCCCAGGGTCGAGGGTTCCTGAATCCACAGGAAGCATTGGAGCAAACTCCTGGATCCCAGCTTTGGATCAGTCCAGTCTGGTCACTGCAAACATCTGGGGTGTACACCAATAGATGGGAGAATCAGTACCTCCCTCTCTAATTCCTTCAGACAAAAAAAATATATAATACCCTTGACCTCACCATCTCAGACCAACTAAAGCAGAGACTCTTGGTAGGGCCTGAAAAGTTAAATCTTAACACTCCTGAGGATTCCAATATGCAGCCAGGACTGTGAAAACAAATGCTTTTAATCTGTTCTAACCAGGCATTTGGCTTAACATTGAAGTGCCGTGTGCTGTACCGAAGAGCCCAGGTGACACACCTGGCTTGGACTTGCATGCCTGTCTTCTCCTAACGTTGACCCAGCAGGTGATGGCTCCAGGAACTCTGTTCCTGCTACCCTTATGGGAGACAGGACTGCTCTGGCGCACCACTGACGAGCAAACAGAGGTATATTCTCTCTCAAGTAAACTAATTAGAAACAAAACAAAAACCAACCCGTGTGTGTGTGTGTGTGTGTGTGTGTGTGTGTGTGTGTGTATACACATATACACATACAAATGGACTTTTGGCATAGCTCAAATTTCAGCTAACTTTTCAAAATTTCCTCTTTCTCAATAACCAATGGCACAGTGTCAGAGTAAGCAGAAGTATTTTTGTCTTCCTCCCTGAAAATTAAGCATCTATTAAATTGTCTAATTTTCTATCATCTTTAAAGATTTTTTTCTGGGGCCCAGTATGGTAGTCTAGTAGCTAAATCCTCACTTTGCATGTGCCAGGATCCCACATGGGTGCCAGTTTGTGTTCCTGCAGCTCCACTTCCCATCCAACTCCCTGCTTGTGGCCTGGGAAAGCAGCAGATGGCCCAAAGCCTTGGGAGCCTGCACCCGCGTGGGAGACCTGGAAGAAGCTCCTGGCTCCCAAATGGCTCAGCACCAGCCATGTGGCCACTTGGGGAGTGAAAAAGGGGACAGAAGATCTTTCTCTTTGTCTTTCCTTCTCTCTGTATATCTTTTTTTTCCCCAATAAAAAATAAATCTTTAAAAAAATTTTGTTCTGATTAAGCAATTGAAATAATCTATTTAACAAAATTTTACCAAACATCCACTGAATCATTATGGCTAACAAAATTACATTTACATGTTATACACCAAGTTCAAGTTTTTTGTGTGTGTATGTGCAAAGAAACACCAAGAAACTTCCGGATTGCCTGTGGCAATAGCAAGGAATTTTACAAATCATTCATCCTCTCTTCTGCTCAGATTTAATAAATTATTTGGTTGAAGACTAAAAGCTGATTTCATTAGTACCTATAATTATCTAGTTTAGAACTATTGTCACAGTTTCTTTTAAAACCGGAATCTGTACCATGAATGACTTTTAGAAGGAAAAAAAGTTAAAAAAAAATAAAACTAATTCAATGCCATAATTACTCAGACTGATCAAACAACTGAACAGAATTAACGTATTGGTATACAGAATTAATGTAACCATGGCATGCAGTGACGCCAAATAACAACCATCCTGCCATCTGTGCTCAGCAAGAAGCTCCATGGAAAAGCTCTGGTTTGTCATGGAGGCAACTGAAAGGAGAAACAGAAAGCCTTCCACCTGGCCTGCTGCGAAGCTATCAGGTTAAGACAGAATTTGAGGAAGACAGGAACTAGAGTTCAGGTTATTAAAGTAGCGTTAAGTTCCAATAAACAAACACAGAGGTAGGGCTCACACGGTGGCCCATGGCCCTGTGTCACTGCACCCACGTGGGAGGCCTGGAGGAGGCTTCTGGTTCGCAGCTTCAGAACAGCTCAGGTCTGCTGCTGAAGCTACCTGGAGTTGCTCAGTGGATGGAAGGTCGGTCTTCTCCCTCTCAGAAACGCTCTCAAGTAAAAATGAAATAAACCGTGCACACACTCTGGGGCAGGTGTTGCAGCCGATATGCCCGCCTGTGACATCTGCCTCCCATACTGGAGTCCTGGTTTGAGTGCAGGGTCATTTCTAGTTCAGTTTCATGCCATGGCATGCCTGTGGGTGAGGCAGATGATGGCTCATGTACTTGGACCTTGCCATTCACACAGGTGACTCAGATTGAGTTCCTGGTTCCTCGCTTAGACCTGGTCCGAGTCCCAGCTGTCCCACGCATTTGGGGAGCACATCAGCAAATGGAAGATCTGTGTTGGTGTCTCTCTCTCAAATGCAACTACTTGCCCTTCATTTACACACCCCACCTGAAGCTCTAAAACACTCAAGGTGACACAAACGCTTTTCCCTAAAGGGTGGGGGGTAATGGCTGTAGAAGTCCTAAGAAATAACAAAGATAATCAAAATCTACTCAAGATGGAACTAGCAATTTTACTTACAGTCTTTTCCCAAGAAAAACTGATGATACATGTAAAAGGCTGGAGAGGAGAAGCGAGGGTACTGTGATAAGCCTGCTTTTCATATTGAAATGACTGATCTGAGCACCACCTGCTCTGTGCTTCCAACCCAACTGCCAATAACGAGCCTGGGAGGGGGCAGATGAACCCCTGCCACTCAAACGGGTGGCCCGGATGGGGTCCCAGAATCTTGGCTTCAGTTCGACCTACCCAGGCACTCAGGGGAGTGAATCACCGGTAGAAAATTTCTTCCTGTCTCTCCCTCTCTCCCTGCCTTTCAAGTAAGTAAATCTTTTGCAAAAGCTGCTCATAGGCTCATCTCGGCATTATTCACAACAGCATACAACTGGAAACAACTCAAATACACACTGAAAGAAAAGTGATCCCCCCAAAATTATCCATCAAATGCAACACAAGAAAAAATCATAGCTGTATAAAGTAATGAGAAAGTCGGCTACTTTCTGAGGTGGTGTGACCTCTAGGGTTATGATGAAGTAGGCTGCCTTTTTCATGAGTGGGGATATATCTAAATCCATGTATTTAATGATAATATTCAAAAAGAAATAAAACATCAGGCACTGGAGTTGTGGCACAGTGGGTTAAGTCACCACTTGTGAGGCCGACATCCCACACCAGAGCACTGGTTCAAATCCCGGCTGCGCGCTTCCAACCCAGCTTCCTGCTAAGGTGTCTGGGGACCTGACACCCATGTAAGAATTGTCCATGAAGCTTCAGCCGTTGCAGCTATTTCAGTGAATAAATAATAAACGAATGAAAGATCTCTATCACTTTGCCTTCCAAAATAAGTAAAATGAGTCCTAAATGCAATCAAAAGCTAAAGATGAAGGAGACAGGGCAGAAGCCAGAGTTTGGAGTCTACACTGTTCTTCCTAATTAATATCACATACACATTTTTCAGTAATTTTTTTTTTTTAAAGAAAAAGGAAGATAGTATTAGAAAACCTAATTGTACACTCAACATCAAGTGCTGTCGGGTGACTTTAACTACATTATTTTGACTTTACATTCCAGTGGGATTTTTTAAGAGATGAATTAAGTCCTCCACGCACTGGTTCACATTTCAAATGGCTGCAACAACCAGAGCTGAGCCGATGGAAAGCCAGGAGCCGCTTCAGGCTCTCCCACTGGGTGCAGAGGCCCGGACATGAGCTGGCCTCCACTGCCCCATGGGCATGGATTTGAGTCTTGGTTGTTCCTTTCCATCCCGCTGTCTGCTTATGGAAGCGGAGGATGACCCAAAACCTTGGGACATTCAACCTACACAGGAAACCCGGAAGAAGCCCATGGCTTCAGACTGGCTCAGTTCCAGCCAGTATGATGACCTGGGAAGTGAACCAGCTAACAGATCTTTGTCTCTCCTCTTTGTGAATCTGCGTTTTCAATGAAAAGAAACAAAAGAATAAGAAGAAGAAAAAAATTTTTTTAAAGTTATAAATTAAAAAAATGAAAATGAAAGTTAAAAATAAACAAATAAATAAATAATCAAGCCCTGTTAGTAGTAATGCTCTATTATTTTGGCAAAGGTATGCCACAATGGCACCAATGTGGGAGACCAGATTAAGTCTGGCTTTGATCTGGTTCAGCCCTAGCTCCAGGCATTTGGGGGTACACCAGTAGATGAAGTATCTGATTCTCTGGCTTTCAAAGGATTAAAAAGAGATACATTTGAAATAATTAAATGAAAAGATAACAAAAATCATTTAAGTAATTCCCTTGGGGGAAAAAGAAAACAGGCAAAATAGAAACATTTTAAAAATAAGCACAATTAAAAACAAATATATAAAAAGTCTAATATATATTTATTAATATTCTTTTATATAAAAGGTACTTTAACT